CCCCTCAGGGGGAGGACTCCTCACACCCTTCCCCTGCTCCACCGTGGAGCTCCATGGGCTGCAGGGGGACAGCCTGCCTCACCATGGTCTTCACCACAGGCTGCAGGGGAATCTCTGCTCCAGCACCTGGAGCACCTCCTCCCCCTCCTTCTTCACTGACCTTGGTGTCTGCAGAGTTGTTTCTCTCACATAGTCTCACTCCTCTCTCCCAGCTGCAATTGCGCAGGTTTTTTTTTTCCCCTCCTTCTTAAATACATTATCCCAGAGGCACTACCACCGTTGCTCATGGGCTCAGCCTCGGCCAGCAGCGGGTCCATCTTGGAGCCAGCTGCCATTAGCTCTGTCGGACATGGGGGAAGCTTCTAGCAGCTTCTCACAGAAGCCACCTCTGTAGCACCCCCCACTACCAAAACCGTGCCACACAAACCCAATACACTACACTTGATGCACTACACTTGACTGGATCACAAAGAAATCAGCTGATCCTTTTCAAATGCTTTAATTTTTCTCTTCAAGAATTTCAAAATGAAGTTACTATTCTAGTACCTGCGGCAGAGTTAGCTGTGCAAGTAAAAACAGCAATTGCCACTACTCTCCCCAGCACTGCCACCTTAAGTATTGAAAAGTTCCTTTGTCTCATACTCTACAGTTCTTTTCTGGAAGACATGAGCTCACTAGTTATCATATGCGTGTTTCTTTCCAAGTTTGGAATTCATCCCTCCTTTCAAAAATCCTTCTACATATTAAATTCAAGGAACACATCAAAGATGGAAATGTTTTACTTTACCCATCATTACTCTTCTTCAGCAGCCTCCTAGAAATCATCACTGCTGTCTAATAGTTAATAAAACTTAAAAAATTAGACTCCTGTGTTACTGTAAACTCCTCTACCCCACATCTTTTTTGCCCGGAGTTGGAAATATTGCCATCTCTTCCTTTTGCTCTTTCTCTTGAGTGAATCTATTGATTCTTCTTAAGCAGGATTTTCTGCACTGCTTCCAGTAATTCTTCCCTTTTGATCTGACCTATACTTTGTTCTTCTTCAGCCAGCACAATACTTCCACACATTAATCATCCACCTTATTTGCAATTCATCTTTACCAGCTCTTTTAATCCCTTAATAGCCTTGTGAGCTTTTGTACACATATTCAAATTCTTCTTTAACTTGGCTTTGTTGTTCAAGTACATTCATTTTCATTACCTATGCAATATCTTCATCCATATAAGCAACATGACCAGCTATAACTTTTGCCGTCGTCTTCTCACTCATGTCCCAACTGCTGCCCATTCCTGGAAGTCCCGCTATCTATACAGTTCAAAGAATCTAGAAACCGCACACATCTTCAGACTTTCATTCATTCCTGCTCTGCTTTAAGAACAAATTCCTCAGGTGACCTAGGAATCTCCACTTTTTTATCACTTCATGCTTTAAACATAAAAGCTGAAACCGAGTAAATTTAACCCAAACTAGATTGGTAAATAATGCTCAACTTCATCATTCACTTTCAAATTTTGGGTTTTTTTCCCTTTTACGTCCCCTATCAACTCACTATATAGCATTTGTTACAGCATACTGGTCCTCCTACCCATCTTCAAAACCTGCAGAACTTTTGGATCTACACACGTTAAAAGTAGGGAGAAAAAAAAGAGGAAAGTGTAGACTTGATCAGAAAATAAGACAAGGAATTACATGCACACACACTCAAGAGAAAGCACCTGCAATTCACTTATGTAAGACAACTTACTACATGAAACTGTCCTTTTCAATCTTAACTATATCACTACCTGAAATGACATACGCTACCTATACTTTACGTACTGAGCTTTTACTAGTCTGTATCCCAAATATACTGTAGTTTAAATGTACACAAGACTAAAGATATCAACACAAGATCAACTGACTTTAAGAAATATCATTAGTACCTGCTTTCTAATCGGATTTGATAACCAATTGTCTGGCCAATCTTTTCTCTTCTTTCTGCTGCCACTCTTTCAGCCACAGCAACAGCTGCCAAACGTCTTGGCTGAGTGCAAAATATACGGCATGGAGTTCCATTTTTGTAACAGTCATCAAGAAGGAACTGAGGGATCTGTAAAGAAGTGGTTTAAGTTTACTTTTTACTTTGATAAAGTCATAGCTTTTTTACCACAGTGAAACAATTTAACTGTGTCTCAGTATTACACAGGTTGCAAAAGGATTCACAATAGGATTATCACTGCAAACATACCTGAAGGGGCAGAAAGTCAGCAAAAATAAATTTCTGATTTTAAGTTTAATCTGTTCCCCCCCAAAAAAAAAAAAAAAAAAATTTAAAGCTTCTCTCTCCTGCTTCAGAGAAATCTATATTAAAAAAATACCTGTAGGTAATCTTTCATTTTAATACAATAATATTCTACTCTAGATACTAAGAACAGAACTATTTTTAGAAGGAAAAGGGCTATACAAAATCATAGCTACTTTCCCTTCAATATTTTATATTACAAATTAGACGAAAAACTAGTATCTATCAGAAAATTGTGCAGAACCATTTATGCTTTTAGTAAGTATCTGCTGGCTTAGTATTTCAAAAGCAAGAATGTGAATTAGAACACAAGACTTTCAACTATATAGGAAAACAAAAGCCTTAAAACTAGCATAAATAAATCCCTTATTAAATAAATATTACAAAATTGGCATTAGTTTCATATAAATACTGTTATCTTTTTTATTTCATTAAAGAAACATACTTGAGTAGTTTTTCCTGATCCAGTCTCTCCTACAATCAGAACAACTTTATTGTCCTTTATTATTTTGACAATTTCTTCCTGCTTTTCAAAAACTGGTAGTGATTGCCTGAAGGAATCAAACTCTGATTCCCCTCTTTTCACTGGAACCTGGGGGATACCGTTGTTAAGTCGTCCGCTTGTCTTGTTCACGTCTCTGTTTTCTATGAAGAGAAGTTAACAATTTACTTAGACAGATACAAAAGAAGGTCACTAAAACATTGCTTAAAAATAGTACATAAAAATGAACATTCCTGACTTTATATGCATCTCTACAGATAAAGTGACAAACCCATCACACATTTGAAAGCCATATTCATAGTGACAGATCCTGTTACGGTGCTTGAAATAAACATTGTTCAAAGGAGTTATTACTTCCATAGACATTTTGAACAGACTATCCCAGGGCATTGCTTGAAGTCAAAAAAGGTCATGAAAAGCAAAAAGAGAAATAGAAACTAAACCCAAGAAAAGCAACCTGGCATTTTTTTTTGGCCTTTGTATCATGTTTACACATTCACACCTCCACAGTTTGCCTAGAAATATTCACTCTATAGTTAAACCTTTAAGTCATTCCAAACTGACAGGCATGTCTTCCAAGAAAAAGATAACTTTACTGTGATTCATATGCCTTCTTTCACACCCTCCCTGGTCTTCTATGACCTCCTTTCAGTCAGTCTTACACAACCTAATGCTCTAGTCTGTAAGATTTGCTTTAAATCATACAAATTGAACCATGCTATAGCTAGACCCCTGGACTCATACAGCACAGTGTGATGTATTAGAAAACAATGCATAAGTAGCCAAAGAACCTGCACGTCTTCAGAGTAAACTACTTCAAATTCAGTATTGTAAATGCTATTCTGTAATTCCTTAATAATTATTTTCCAGAAGAATGAAAAGCTTGCTGTAAATTCAATTATACATATTTAATGTGATTAACAGATTAATATATTAAATTACGAGCACTGTCTTACCAAGACAGACATAGGCTAACAGATTAAAAGAGCCAAAAACCATTCTGAAGAAGTACAGAAAGATAAATTTTACACTATTCATTAGTTTATGCCTTACATTCCTAAGGAATTGCTTTTCAGTACTTTTATTATAGTTTCCCTCTGTTCATTAAACAATTCTATTAAACAATTGAAAAAGAAAGCTAGCAAAGGAAGCACTTAAAGCATGAACCATCATGAATCAGAAATATCCAATGAAACAAGGCATACTGATACAAGCGTTTTCTGTGCACTACACCCAGCTTTGCGCACAGAAACACAACTGTTACACTCGTAACTTTAAAGCAATAATCTTGCTAAAAGCATTGTTTAAAAAAACCCACAATATATCCGAAGTTTGTCTTCCAGTGAACTCTCTCATATTCTAGAAATCAGTAAGACACTAGAGTCGTCTCTTAGGCACTAAATCTATTTTAGAAGACAACAAAACAAAAAATAAACTTCTTATTTTATCAAGAATATGAAGTTCTAGAAGCAGAACAGCCAGCCTCATTTTATCACAAGGGTGTTCTTATACGGCAGTTATGGTAACACTTCTCTCTTCAATCTCACCTCATGGAACTTGCAGGAACTCACATTTCACAAATGTGCTTCCAAATAAATTTGGTCTATTTTAGAAGACAACAAAACAAAAAATAAACTTCTTATTTTATCAAGAATATGAAGTTCTAGAAGCAGAACAGCCAGCCTCATTTTATCACAAGGGTGTTCTTATACGGCAGTTATGGTAACACTTCTCTCTTCAATCTCACCTCATGGAACTTGCAGGAACTCACATTTCACAAATGTGCTTCCAAATAAATTTGGTTGGAACTGGCTTAAAGATTCAAAAGTAACTTGGCACATTGGAATGTGGGTGACATAACTGCCCAAGTTCCTCATGACACCGGTTTTAAAAGACTCTATATTAACAATTAAAAGTCAAGAAAATTAATGGGTTTGTTTCAGGGGGAGGGTGTCATTTGGGACAGGAAAGGAGACAGAAAAGAAAGGTTTTTGTTTTGTGGTTGGGTTGTGGGTTGTTGTTTTTTTTAAGCAGTGTTGGTTCATAAGTCCGCATCAGAAGACAGACTGAACATACCAGATTCAACAGCACACGCATTTCCTCGCTCCGTCTTTGGCAGAAGTTCTGTTCGTTCTTTATTTGTGACAGGAAATCTCTGAATTAAACTCCTAACAGCATGTTTCGTACTGGGAGCCAAGCAACAAGTCATTACTGCATGTGTTAGTTCTAATCCATCCTTCTTCCTTACAGTCAGGTATCGATTTGCTCCTTTTCTGGGAGAAAAAAAAAATGTATTTTAGGAATAAGTAACCTATTTACCTCTATGTAATGATCTTTGATCATAATTCTTTCAAGATGGCTGTGAGATTATTTTCAAATTTAATGTCATAACTAGAAACTTCCAAATAATGTCCTATGTAGCATAACGCACACCAAAATAACAGAAGCATCCACAATATCCACCAGCAAAACCACCCTCTACCTGCACAAGGTAGTGCAGCACAGACACTGCAGACTTCGAATGACTACGCCCAGCACAACCTTACAATTAGGCCTCCATAACATAACACTGTTCTCCTACCTTTCTGTTAAAGGTCTATCACTGCATTTGCTTCCCAAAAGACAGCCAGCTCCATCAATCCTCTATCAATCAATACTGAGAAGTATGACACAAAACTGATTTCTAGGCTAATTTAAGAGATTTAGAGGTTAAAAATCAACAAACAGACAGACAAACAAGTAGCCTTCTAGTGATATTCCAAGCCTTAACGAAATCCAGTAAAAACAAATCAGATTCCCAGGATGTTCATTATCAAAGATTTACAATGTAGAATTAGAGCCGAAACACTTAATCATAACACTGCATTTGTTCTCAGACTGAACTCTGATACTGAAATGCAAAGAACTGCTGTAAATATGTTTGAAACTGAACTCTCTTGTGCATGGGCTACAATGACATAGCAACACTTTGAAAATGACTTCTCAGGATAAGAACAGAAGGTCACACTGAGATCCTAGTGGCCCGTCCCTGGCAGGGGTGGTATAGTGGTGTGTGTGTACAGGGTGCACGTACCCAGGTGCTGGCAGGGGTGGCCTCTGTGAGGAGAGGCCGGGGCTGCCCCATGCTGGACACAGCCAGCTCCAGCAGACCTACTGCAGGGCACAGCTGAGCCTCTCAGCCACGATAGTGGTCACTCTGTAATAACGTATTTAATAAAGGGAAAAAACGCTGCACAGCAGCTGTAAGAGAAAGGAGTGAGAAAAATGTGGGAGAAACAGCCCTGCAGACACTAAGGTCAGTGAAGAAGGAAGGGGAGAAGGTGCTCCAGATGCTGGAGCCGAGATTCCCCTGAAGCCCATGGAAGAGGCCTCAGTGCACCAGATTTATCCTGAAGGAACTTCAGCCTGTGGGAGAGACCCCATGCTACTTTCTCCCCATGTCCTGTTGAAGAGGGGGACTGACAGACCAAGCTGGCTGGGCACCTGGCAGTTAGCCAAGGTCAACCCACCACAACATGGCTGCTTTCTAAGTTGTTGGCTTGGGTTCAGCTCCTGGTCAATGCAAGATAACATTTCAGAATAGCAAAAATAGTGAATCTAGAACAGTACTTGAATGTCCATATCCAGGAAAAGGCTGGCAGAATTGGAAAAACAAACTGCAATCCTTCCCATGACTATGCTCCCAGTCTTCAGTAGTTTTAGAGCCACAGAATCACAGAACCATTGAGATTAGAAGGAACCTCTGGAGGTCATCTGGTCCAAACCCCTGCTCAAGTGGGGTCACCTAGAGCCGGCTGCCCAGGACCATGTCCAGATGGCTTTTGAATAAATCTCCAAGGAAAGAGACTCCGCAACCTCTCTGGGCAACCCATGCCAGTGCTCGGGCACCCTCACAGTTTGCACCCACTGCCTCTGGCCCTGTCACTGAGCACTGCTGAAAAGAGCCTGGCTCTGTTCTCTTTGCATCCTCCCTGAAGGTACTTATATACATTGACAAGATCCCCCTGAGCCTTCTCTTCTCCAGGCTGAACAGTCCCAGCTCTCTCAGCCTTTCCTCATAGGAGAGATGCTCCAGTCCCTACACCATCTTGTTGGCTCTTCACTGAACTCTCTCCAGTATGTCTATGCCTCTCTCCTGCTGGTGATCCCGGCACTGAGCACAGCACTCCAGGTGTAGCCTCACCACTGCTGAGTAAAGTGGAAGGATCACCTCCCTCCTCCCTCAACCTGCTGGCAACACACCTCCTAACTGAGGGTATAGGGGGGAGCTGGAGAGACAGCCCTGATGCTGTGCGAGCATTGCTCAGCAGTAGTCAAAACACTGGTGTGTTATCAACACTGTTCTAGCTACAAATACAAAGCACAGCACTAGGAGGGCTGCCATGGGGAATGTTAACTCCATCCCAGCCAGACCCAATATAGTACTGCTAACAATGTCTAGAGGAAAACATACTAGCTATGAAGAGTTTATAGTAAGTTTTCTGTAAGTATTCAACATATGCTTGCTTAACTCAAAGGAAAAAACTAAGGACACAAAACATTGCCCTATGGTTCCCAAGCAATGGCTTGCCTTATTTATCCACTCTGCAACAAGTACAGATACAGTAATGTATATTAACATTAAAATTATAGTCTATCTAGAAATTCGATGATGAAAGCCAATCATGATCAAGCCTTTTAAAAAATGATCATTTCAAAAGTTATTGCAAGCATAAATACTGAGGAAATCTGGGAAGATTAAACACAAGTAGAAGATTTGAATTTATTTTAAAAGGAAATTATGTTTCTTAAATGTGCACTGCATTATTATAGTCAAAAAAAAAAAAGATACAGTTTATGTCTCCCCAGGTGAATATTCCCTTTTTCTCAGCTGTTTAAATTTCAGTTCAACTATTCTCGAAGCTTCATGTCACTCTGAACATTCCACATTTAAAAAAAAAAAACACAAAACAAAACCAGGAGGTGATTGTCCCATTCTACAATGGGGTGTGGCCCCACCTCGAGTACCATCTGCAGGTTTGGGCGCCTCAATATAAGAAGGACATCAAATATTAGAGTGTGTCCAGAGGAGGGCGACCAAGATGGTGAAAGGCCTCGAGGGCAAGACTTAGGAGAAGCGGCTGAGGTCATTTGGCTTCTTCAGCTTGGAGAAGAGAAGGCTGAGGGGTGACCTCATCGCAGCCTACAACTTCCTCAAGGGGGGCAGCGGAGAGGGAGGTGCTGATCTTCTGTCTGGTGACCAGCGACAGGACACGAGGAAATGGAATGGAGCTGCGTCAGGGGAAGTTCAGATTGGACATTAGGAAAAGGTTCTTCACTGAGAGGGTGGTTGGTCACTGGAACAGGCTCCCCAGGGAAGTGGTCACAGCACCAGGCCTGTCAGAGTTCAAGGAGCGTCTGGACGATGCTCTTCGTCATAGGGTTCAGTTTTAGGTAGTCCTGTTTCAGTTTTGGGTAGACCTGTGAGGAGCAGGGAGTTGGATTTTATGATCCTTATGGGTCCCTTCCAACTTGAGATATTCTATGATTCCATGAAAACAACAACCAAAAATACCACAGAATCTGCTAGGGAGCTGCTCAGAGACACTTACAAAGCTCTACAAAGAATCAACAAGGATTCAGGCAGGGTTTACCAGTCACAGTTAAGCACAGGCACAGTACAACCCAAGCATGTTCCTGCTAACCATTTGCGCACATCTGACAAGGCTTTCTAATACTCCATGTTCCCAAAATATGATGCAAAGATACGAAAGTTCAGCCAAATTTATTGTCTCAGGGGGCACATTTACTGTCTCTGGTTTTATCTGTGGCAAAAATCAGCTATACCACTCCTGAGACTGGAATGACACTGGATGCATAGCTTCATTTGAACAGCACTATGCTTGAATAAGATCTTCTGAAACCAAGCCATACGTTCAACACAATCAGTGCTGAATAGCACTTACTCCCTAATTAAGTCTAGATCAGACAACTAGCATTTCACACTACTTTTGCAAGAATCATGAAGTATCACCAAAAATGAGGAACAGCAAATGCTGCTACGGTTTTACAACAGTATACACACACACACACACGTTATACATGACGCTCCATCTATCTGGGTTTTTCCTGTGACTTTCCCTTTCCCATTGCTTTGCCACCTGAATTCCCAAGGGAACCGAATTCTCAGCTTTCACGCAAGCTCATCAGGTCAATGAACATGGGTTTTCTCTTCAAAAGATCAGAGGAGGGTAAGAAAAAGAAACATCATCATACCTGCATATAAGCCCTCTTCTCCCGCACTTCTCAACAGAAGCACTCTTTTCGACGTGCTACTCTAGGTTACATTTTATCTGTCAAAGTATGAGATTCTATGCAAAACCCTTGGGCACACAATTGTGCATGAAAAACAGAACAGATCTTGGTGAGAAATCTTTTTTATGGACCCATGAAATCCACAAAACAGTATAAGGGCAAGCTATCTCAAACTAAGGATGTCACCAGGTTTTTTAAGCAGACATAAAGCAAAGCACAAAGATACTTATTTTTATCTTACTTTTTAAACTTTTTTCTCTAGTACTATTCCCTGCAACAGTGCAGGACATGCTAGAAACACAGGTCATTTTAACGCTAGTCGTGAAATTCCATACATTTGCACCAAGAGAAGAAAATAATAACTAAAAATCAGACTCTAACTTACCCTTTACTTTTAGATATCAGGCCAAGAGACTGACAGAGCCGGTGAACAAATGCTCTTTCAGTACTAGTGAAAGAAGAGGGAAATTCCATTTCTAGAAAGATAATTAAAAAAGCAAACATAACAATGCAACATGCAGTACTCTTGACATACTATCTCGATGTTAAGAGTTTTTCAATCCCCAAACCTATCACGTTCTCCCGTGAACAACGGGACCGATGGCAGTGCTGTATCTTCACACCTGTAGGCGATGCAGGGTTCACAAGCAAGCCATCTTATTCGGGCAGAAAGGAGCTGAGGAGAGGCTTCTACCGAT